GAGATGGAGTCTCGATCTATTGCCCAGGCTGGAGTGCAGTGCTGTGATCTTGGCTCACTGCAACCTCCACCTCCTGGGTTCAAGTGATTCTCTTGCCTCAGCCTCCTGAGTAGCTGGGATTACAGGTGTGTGCCACCACACCCAGCTAATTTTTGTATTTTTAGTAGAGATGGGGTTTCACCATGTTGGTCAGGCTGGTCTCAAACTCCTGACCTTGTAATCTGCCCGCCTTGGCCTCGCAAAGATTATAGGTGTGAGCCACTGTGCCTGGCTAATTTTTGTATTTTTAATAGAGATGGGGTTTCATCTTGTGGGCCAGGTTGGCCTGGAACTCCAGACTTCAGGTCGTCTGCCCGCCTCGGCCTCCCAAAGTGCCGGTCTTAGAGGCATGAGCCACTATACCCAGCCATCATTTTGTTGTTCTTGTTGCCCAAGTTGGAGTGTACTGGCATGAACTCACTGCTGCCTCCTGAGCTCAAGTGATCCTCCCACCACAGCTTCCAGAGAAGCTAGGACTACAGGCTCTCAGCATCACACTGTATTTTTGTAGGCTCAGGGTCTCACTATATTTCCCAGGTTTGTCGCAAAACTCCTGAGCTCAATCAATCCTTCCACCTCAATCTCCCAAAAAATTATAGGCATAAGCTACCACACCAGACCCTTTATTTTCACCTTATGTATAAAGAAACAAAGGGGCAAAGAAATTAAGTAATATTCCAAGTTCCCATGTATAATAAACTGGCAAATAGGCAGTTTGACTCCAGGAATGATATCATACCCAGTATAGTACACAGGTGTCTCTTTCATAATCTTTTGGGAAAAATGGGTCTCAGAAACTTTTATTTTGAGACAGCGTCTCACTCTGTTTTCAGGCTGGAGTACAGTAGCGCAATCTCGGCTCACTGCAATCTCTTCCTCCAGAGTTCAAGCAATTCCCCTGCCTCAGCCTCCCAAGTATCTGAGACTACAGGCACACACCACCACACCCGGTTAAGATTTTGTATTTTAGTAGAGACAGGTTTTCACCATGTTGGCCAGGATGGTCTCGATCTCCTGACCTTGTGATCTGCCTGCCTTGGTCTCCCAAAGTGCTGGTATTACAGGTGTTAAGTCACCGAGCGTGGCCTCAAAAACTTTTACGTTTATACACACAAGGTGCACATAAGCACCTTCATCATCAACGTACCAAATAAGACTATTCTTTTGTGTGTGTGTGTGTGTGTGTGTGTGTGAGATGGGAGTTTCCCTCTTGTTGCCCAGACTGAAGTGCAACAGTGTGATCTCGGCTCACTGTAATCTCCGCCACCTGGGTTCAAGCGATTCTCCTGTCTCAGCCTCCCAAGTAGCTGGCATTATAGGCACCTGCCACCATGCCCAGCTAATTTTTTATTTTTAGTAGAGCCGGGGTTTCACCATGTTGGCCAGGCTGGTCTCGAACTCCTGACCTCACGATCCACCCACCTCGGCCTCCCAAAGCGCTGGGATTACAGGAGTGAACCACCACACCTGGCCATAAGACTATTCTTAACTGGTCAGTCAGGTTCTCTTTGTCCCTATCAAGCCTACTCTGTTAGTCTTCCAGACTGTCTCACTAAAGGCAGGATGAATTGCTACTGGTCTGCTAAAGATATTACAGATTAAAGAACGGTTAATCAGGCAGAAAAAAATGTAATAAAATAAAAATGTCTACATAAAAGTTAAACCCTTTACCAATTTTCTTATAGTCCATCTTCCCAACAATTGAGAAAAAAATTTAAAGAAACAGGTTCTGTGGTCACAGGGATGGCACAGCAGCATAAATCTTCTCAGACATTTCATGGCTCTCTAACCTTAGCAGATGACCTGTGGTTAGGCTCCTCTCGTGGTTTCAGGGCTCCCACTCCAAGAGTTGGGAGTTGTGTTTGAAAAACAGACATTCGACCACCAGTTGGAGACATCAGCTTAAAGGCAGCTTGAAGTGCAGGACCCAAGGCACTCTGGGTCTCCAGAGTCTTGGTAAACATTTGTGGCAATGTTTTCAGTAAATCTTGTACAAGCTTGTAAAATAAAGCAAGAAAACTCAAGAGTGTCACAATTAAATTTTTTTTTCACATTAGTCAGTATCTAATACAATAGACAAGACATTGATGATGATCAGAGAATCTACAGACACTAAACAATGAAGTTGGTCAAATGACAAGAAAGCCATTTTAAGTCAACATTATAAATTGGCAAGCAAGACAAATCAAAGTTGGTGCCTTACAGTTCTTGCACATGCAGTAGTCCAGCAAGACTATAAGTCCAAAATGTATCCGAAAGAAACATCACAGTTCAGAGAATTGATATATTTTAATACCATGAAATATGGCCTTCTCCATCACCTCTACATACTTTATTCTTTTAAGTTCCAAAGTGAGCTTAGCTCTTCCCTGTTGTAAATCTATGATATCCAGTAACTTTGCCAACTAGTAATATCACCACAAAAGAAAAACAACTACCTTTACAGGTTAGGTTGTACAAATAGAGTTAATGGGGAAAAAAGTACTTCGCACTATGGCACAGTCACCATTGCCAACAGCAGAGACCACAGACTTGCTAGTTAAAATGTTACCCCTACGGCATATATGCATGTACAGGGTAGACAACATCCCCCCTTCAGACACATTCTGTTCACCTCTCACTGTATTATTCATGGCAATTTCCAGGCAGGTAATAAGAGTTTCTTCTGAACTGACCCCAATGACACTCTGTGAATCAGAAAAGCAAAGGGCACTGAAAGCAGCCTACCTAATGTGCTTCTACGTAGTGACCAGAAACTTTATCTCAGCAACCCTCCCAACTTCCCAAATGGCTGGCAAGACAGATTTCCTTCAGGTGTTCCTCCTATATGGAATATGCTATTTTCTACCCTATTACAAATAACTTGCTTCATTAGACTTAAAAATGATCAGCTCAGGATTGAACTCAAGAGCTGTTCATCTTATTAACTACGAGCAAATTTAAAATGCTACACATTTTAGAAATGTCACGGAAAGAACCAAAATTTTACTTCAAGTTCATTTCAAAAACATACTCCTTCAATATTTTAAACAAACATGTCAGGTAGAAAAATGTGCCTTACCTCTTTACTTTCATTTAAGTTTACTAATAAGTTCTCTGGCATAGGTATAAAAACATCTGAAAGAAAAAATACACATTTATTTTAAACAAAATATAATCATTAAAGGTGTTCCAAATATATAGCACGAATGTGATTAACCACCCCCTTCGTTAAAGATAAGCCACCTCATCCACTATTACAGCACGGTTTACCTATGTCCAAAGAACGACCAAAAAACCACACTGATTCAGGTATCTACTGCAAAATGTTCTGCTTCTTGTCTGCTACCTTGTAAAAGGTATAGACTCCCAGTTACAAAATATTTATCTGGGCCGGGTGCAGTGGTACACACCTGTAATCCAAGCACTGTCAGAGGCCTAGGTAGGTGGATGACTTGACTCAGGAGTTTCAGACCAGCCTGGGCAGCATGGTAAAACCCTGTCTCTACAAAAAATACGAAAATGAACCAGGCATGGTGGTACACGCCTGTAGTCCCAGCTACGTGGAAGGATTGCTTGAGCCTAGGAGGTTAAGGCTGCAGTGAGCCAAGATTGCACGACTGCACTCCCAGGCTAGGCAGGAGGTTGAGACCCTGTCTCCAAAAAAAAAAAAAAAAAAAAAAGAAAGAAAATATTGATCTATACTCACTGAGTAAGGGTTTACATAAGTGCTCTGCTTCTTAGGCTAAAGGTAACACTTTACAATCCTGCTTTGACTTCTTTTTTTTTTTTTTTTTTTTTTTTTTAACGGCTGACCCTGGAAGCCAGCCAAAGATACACTCTTGGCATTAAGAAAATTTTTTTGACTAACATGACGCACAAGAATGCTGTCTTTATAAGGAAGCAATATAGCTCACCAATAGCTCATTCAAAAAGCAGATGCGCCGGGCGCGGTGGCTCAAGCCTGTAATCCCAGCACTTTGGGAGGCCGAGGCGGGTGGATCACGAGGTCAAGAGATCGAGACCATCCTGGTCAACATGGTGAAACTCCGTCTCTACTAAAACTACAAAAAATTAGCTGGGCATGGTGGCACGTGCCTGTAATCCCAGCTACTCAGGAGGCTGAGGCAGGAGAATTGCCTGAACCCAGGAGGCGGAGGTTGCGGTGAGCCGAGATCGCGCCATTGCACTCCAGCCTGGGTAACAAGAGCGAAACTCCGTCTCAAAAAAAAAAAAAAAAAAAAAAAAAACAAAAAGCAGATGCTTTCTCATAAAGAAGGCCCACACCAGTGCCTTTAAGAATGGGACTGTAGGCTGGGCACAGTGGCTCATGCCTGTAATCCCAGCAGTTTGGGAGGCCAAGGCAGGCAGATACTGAAGTCAAGAGATCGAGACCATCCCGGACAATGTGGTGAAACCCCTCACCATGTTGGCCAGGCTGGTCTTGTGTTAGCCAGGATGGTCTCTGTCTCTTGACCTCAGTATCCGCCTGCCTCGGCCTCCAAAAGTGCTGCAATTACAGACATGAGCCACCTTGACCAACTGAGAATTTCATTGTTTTATAAAGGCTGAATGATATCCCATTATGCGTTTATACCACATTTTGTTTATTCATCTGTTGATGGCTACTTGGGGTGTTTCCACCTTCTAGCTATTGTAAATAATTGCTATTGCTATAAACAATAATGTAGAAGGATCTCCTTGAGTCCGTTCTTTCAATTTTTTGGATTATATATTGAACAGTGGAATTGCTACATTATGTGGTAATTCACCTTAAACTTTGAAGAACTGCTAAGGAATTTTCCACAGCAGCTATACCACTTTATATTATGACCAGTAATGTACCAGGGATGTTTCCACAACCAGGGGCATAAATATTTGCCCCTGTTTTCTACTTACAGCTCTTAAGTATAGGTCTTTAGTCCATGTCAAGTTAATTTTCTTTACATGGTATAAGGTGGTAAAGGTCCAACCTCATTCTTTTACATAAGCAGTATTGCCACAACTATTTGTTCAGAAAACTGTCTCTTCTCCCACTGAAAAACTGTCTCTTCTCCCACTGATTGGTCTAGGCACCTTTGTCAAAAATCAATTGACAGGCTGGGCCTGTTGGCTCATGCCTGTAATACCAGCACTTTGGGGGGCTGAGAGAAGCAAATTACTTGAGGTCAGGAGTTCGAGACCAGCCTGGCCAACATGATGAAACCTCATCTCTACTAAAAATATAAAAATTAGCGGGGTGTGGTGGTGCATGCCTCTCATCCCAAGTACTCAGGAGGCTGAGGCAGGAGTATTGCCTGAACCCAGAAGGCAGAGGCTGCAGTGAGCTGAGATTGCACCACTTCACTCCAGCCTCAGTGACAGAGTAACCCCCCATCTCAAAAAAAAAAAAAAAAAAAAAAAAATCAATTGCCTATATGTGCTAGGCTTTATTCTGAGCTCTCAATTCTATTTCTTTGCTCTATGGCTATCCTCAAATAATTTGAATGAATGGAAAGACGGGGAAAAAAGGCCTAAATTTGATCTGAGTTCTAACATTAACTTGTTTTTGTCGCCTTGTACAGAATTCATGTTGTCTCCATGACCCCCGTTTCCTCTTCTAAGAAATAAGAGATTGAACTGAAAGATTCTTACAACTTCAACAATCATGATTTTATACTCAAGATTTTCCCTGATATAGTACAAATAATACACATCCAATTTGTCAAGTAATCAAGAAATATTTCTAAAACTGGAAATTATGAAAACAGTTATAAATCTATACCTTCGATATCTGAAACTATTAGCATCTGAGGTTGAGAGAGACCTTCTTGAAGACTGTAGAAATGGATTGTACTGTCAAACGTTATGAACCCAATTTTTGTTCTAGTGTTGCCAGGAAGCCTAAAAACAAATTCATAAGAATATTTTACCAAGTTTTAACTATATACAAATACACATAAAATGTGTCTTAAGAATTACATGCAAATATCTCAATCAATATTATGGAAATCGGCCCAACACAAACAATTGTTTAAACCACCCAATGTTTACCATGAAAACATATGTGACTCTAAGGGAAAACACTACACATAAGCCAAACAATAAAAAAACCACGGCAATAATACAGAAATCCAAAACCAAGTATAGCTATGAAGTTACATATAATCACTTAGGAAATAGTATGCTAAAAGTACTTAAAAGTATGAAATTTTCTAGATGATTTTAAGTTATAAACCATGCTTCAAAATATTATGATACACAAGCTCTAATATTTAAGAACAAAGAAAAGCAAAACATCTATTTTAAAGAACTATAAATATGTGGAACTACAGCTATATAAGGGGAAAAACAAATTGTTCATGCATGAACTCTTGTTCATGCATGGGTGAGTCAGTGACAATCTCATCAATTCACAATCCCCATTCATCATCTACAGCATTAAAAATACAAATGCTGGGCCGGGCGTGGTGGCTCATGCCTGTAATCCCAGCACTTTGGGAGGCCGAGGCGGGTGGATCAC